AAATGAAAAAACACAACAGCTAAAGTTTAGGAGACAAAGCACTATATTTCCTTATAAAGGGGGACAAAGGGTTGATGGACTCAACTTCTGCAGGTGTGCATCTGTTTCTTACGAATAACCAAGAGGTCCCAGGAATTATCTTCATGGTGCTGGCAAAGCAAGAGATGGAAAGAGAAATGCACATAAATAGGAATAAATTAAAATCAATTTGAATATTCATTTGAGAAGAACAAATATATAATATGGAACAGGAATTCATAACAGGTAGGTTGATCATTCATGGTCTTTCTCATACATTTAAACCATGACTGTAGTTACGTTTCACCCTGCATAGGTTTCTAATTTACATAGATCTGTTACTTTTCTGGAAAAAATATATCTGTTTTTAAATGTGTTTAGTGGTCTGTTGAAGGAACAACAGAACTTTGTTTTTAAAAAATAGACTAGCCCACTCTGCATAAAAAAAAAGTTTATTTAAAGCATAAAAGAGAACTGCATACTACCAGTTATTTGTTACCAGTTTGGTCAAAAATCACTGATTTTCTGATAAGGGTTTTACTTGCTAGTTAATAGTTTCATTACCTTCTGCAGCTGGTGGGCAATTTTGCTTGCTACACAGACCTTCTACACCCCATTCTGGTTGCTGTGAACTGCGGGGTCAAATCTGGGTTTCATGGTCAGTCAGGACCTTTTTGTTTTAGAGTTTAATGGCAGTTGTAGGTAATGAGCATTGTTGTTATGGGTGAGCCAGTCCCAATAGTGCACACATTCTCCATGGTCATTCACCAACTCTGCTGGAGATGTGGAGAGAGATCTAAAGTAAAACCTCACATCTCCTTCATCCACTGGGCTGATGCTTACATCCAGCTGACCCCTCTAAAACATTTTTATTTCATGCACAGGTTCTGATTAAACTTTTCCATGCAGATGTAAATACTGTATAATTCTGGAGAGTGTATATTGTCTCTGATGTATTGACTGGCATATCTAGAATGATGGTTAAACCCTTTCACCCAATCCATTCTACATTAAAATTACAGTTAGTGGGGTTTTCTTCTTCTTCTGTTGGCAAGTGACTCTTAAGTGTGAGAGGAAATGAAATTTGTGGAGAATTCACAAATCGTTGACCTTAAATTGTAAGCATAGAACCATTCACATGCTTCATTATTGAGACTCTCTAAAATTTGGTCATAGGGGCAGCACAATCAGACGTGGTATTCATCAGGTTCTGACCAGTTCTGAAGAACCGGTAGTGGAAATTTTGAGTAGTTCAGAGAACTGGCAAATCCCACCTCTGAGTGGAGATTTTACAGTATCCTTCCCCTGCCACGCCCATCAAGCCACGCCCACAGAACTGGTAGTAAACAAAATTGAATCCCACCACTGAACACAATGCATGTATCAACATTATTTTCTGCTATCTATAGCAGGAGTCCCCAACCCCCAGGCCATGGCCCACTACTGGTACATAAGCCATTTGGTACTGGGCCACAGAAGCAGTAGGCAAGCACACGGCACAGGTGCGTGCTCCATTTGCGTGAGCGGTGAGCATGCATGCCCACCACTCACGTAAATGGAGTTCTGTGTGCGCACATGCTTGAAGGTTGCTCACATGGAACTATTTCCCCCTCCCCCACCAGTCTGCAAAGCTGGAAAGATTGGGGAACTATGATCTATAGCAGAGGTCTCCAAACTTGGCTACTTTAAGACTTGTGGACTTCAACTCCCAGAATTCTCCAGCCAGCATATAGATCAGGGGTCCACAAACTTGGTCACTTTAAGTCCACAAGTCTTAAAATGACCAAGTTTGTGGACCCCTGATCTATAGGACAGGAAGAATGTACATGAAAGCAGATATGAGGTAGGCTCCTGAGGTCTCAAATCTTAGGTTAGCAAATTGAGAACAGGGAGAAGAACTTATGTTGTTATGCCACAGTCATTGGGATTCTACAGAACCCTCTCCTGTCCAGGAACATCACAGATCCCAATTGCCAGTATTAACTGTAGCATCCTTGCTACAGGTTGAGCCCATTCAATAATATTTTTAATGGACCTTTGATGCACAGTGGACTGTTATTCTTCATGTCTCGTTAATTTTTTTTTAGAATTATTCCAGAGTCAATTATTCTGCCTTTAGGCCACAAAAATGCAACAAACCAACGTAACATAAAAACAAAAGGCACATAGTCATGCCACAATGCAAATCCTGCCTTTGTGTATCCCAACATCTGACATGGCTCATGTTTTGTCTCTTGCCCTCTTCCATCCACTGTGGACACAGATACTTCAGTGTCTCTTGGGACTTATTAGATTATTTTCAGGTCTACCTCAATACTCAAGGCTTTCTACAAACATGGGAAGTTTCTGACTCACTTCTGCAAAGAAAAGAGGCCAGAAGATGGAGCCAGAGACAATATTCCTTCTGGTCTAATTCAAACGGAAACTGAAAAACAGTAAGAGATTATGGCTTTTCCATGTTCAGATTCTGGCCTTCTCTGCTAGACTGGATAAAATTGTTCTTAATAATGCAAAGCCAGAGAAGTCAAAGTTAAGCTGAACCATAACTCACTAAAATTTAGCTCCAGAATTTCTTTTCGGTACCAAGATTTGGATCTGGATTGTGCAATACAATAAGTGTGAGTATACCTCTGAGCATCGATAACATTCCTTTCTTTGAACACTTATATATCAGCCACTCCAGGATATTTGGAATTGTGGCCTGAGTTTCTACTTCAGGGTAATTACTTCAACACCTGGTAAGTATACAATCCCCCTTCTAATCATGACTTAAGAACTGTCTCTTTTATAAAGCAATTGTAGACATATCAGAATTTTCTAAGAAGACATATGTGATTAGGAAGGCGATCAATCATTTATATTGAGCCAGTTTCTATTAGTGAGAATAGAGGCAAGCTTTTAGATTTACACTGTGCTCTTCACTAGACCTAATTAATCAGGGCCAGTTCTTTAGTTGACAGTCAATAATTTGCCCCTTCTAAGTAGAACAAGTCTTTTAAAAAAGAAACAAAGTGTTTTCTCTCAGTAGTGGAAGACAATGTTATTGTAACTCTCCACAGTATCTAAGGAATCTTGAAACCAGATTGTCATCAGAAAACAGATGTGTAACTGGCTAGCCTTAATTCATTAATTCCTTATCAAATGTCCACATTCTAGACCACTTCTTTTCTCTGGGTCATGTTTCTTACACATATAGTTTACTATTAGCACCACCTCTTGGTAGTTATTAAACATTATGCTATGTCTTTCAAGTCTCTTAAGCGTTGTTCACTTTACTGTAAAGTACCTGAGGGAAGACTGAAAGCTGATGAAGCATTAATAGCTTTGGCAAGAGAATGTTTAGTAACCAGCTGAAGACAGAGGTATACTGTTTACATTGCCTATATCAGAATGCAGAGGGAAAGCCCAATTAGCTAACCCAATCATTCCTTCTTTAAGGCTACATGGTCTACTGTGTCTTCTATATTGCCTTACTCTGAAAAAGATAAGGAAGCCAATACCATAAAGGATTTCGGATCCTATTGCATACTGCAAAGGAATGATCATACTACATATTACAAATATGGACCTATATTTATTATGTGCTTTATATTTATAAATTATGACCCACTGGGAAGGGAGGTTGAAATTCAAGTGATGCCACAATGTAACTTATGAAAGAATCATACTCAGTGATTGAATACATGCTCTGCATCTAGAAAATCAGGAGTGGGATTCTACAGGTTTGCACCTTTTCTCTAGAACCGGTTGTTAACATTCTAAGCAGTTCGGAGAACCAGTTGTTAGAAGAAATTACTGGCCTAATCCTGTAAGGAAGGCAGGAAGGAAACATTCTGGTGTTGCTTACAGAAACTGCCTCTCCATTAATCCTTATTACATTCTTGGCAGGACTAGACTTCCTGTCTCTGGAACTTCTCTGGAGGTATTTTTTCCTCCTTTGCTGGCTCTTTGCTTATGGCAAGTGACCATTCAAAGCTACAATGGCACTGAAAAAAGTGACTTATGACCATTTTTCACACTTATGACTGTTGCAGCATCCCCACAGTCATGAGAGGCCAGGTGAGGAGATGCGTGCCTCAATGTGAGTGATGTTGAGTTGGCTATGCCCAGCCAGTCACATGACCACCAAGCCACACCCACTAACTAAACCACACCCACAGAACCAGTTGTTACAAAAATTGAACCCTACCCCTGTAGAAAATCCAAATTCAGACATTATCTTAACTAAACAGAGCTAGAAAATTCTGTATAACCACAACCAGAGAATATATTGTATGCACTATAATGCATATATTGTATACAATATATTGGTCTAATTGGGTTAGGGGTGTTGTTATATAATAATCATTTCCAGGGAGTAAAGGAGTATATTTTACTTCTGCCTCTACCCATATTGAGGTCCTGATTTTAGGACAGCAGTGATAGTTACTGTAATCAGTGATGGGATTCAAATTTTTTTTACTACCAGTTCTTTGGGCATGGCTTGGTGGCCATGGTTTGGTTGCCGTGGCAGGAGAAGGATACTGTAAAATCTCCATTCCCTCCCCACTCTTGGGGGAAGGTTACTGCAAAATCCCATTCCCTCCCCACCCCACTAACTACTTTCCAGCTCGGTTCTCCTGTGCAGGGCAACAAAAGAAGACCCAGCCAATCAGCCGGGGGTTCGGGAGGCAGAGGATAGATGGGGGCGGGGTCAGTCAGAGGTGGCATTTGCTGGTTCTCTGAACTACTCAAATTTTCCACTACCGATTCTCAGAATCCACTGAATACCACATTGTAATGAAATGTGAAGTTTGGGTCTGAAAAAAAAACTATTGGATCCATGAAACTGTTCAATGGAAAACTCTAGAGCTTCAAAGAGATAAATGGAAATTGATTGAGAGCATGGAAAGCAGCTTGTAAAGGAGAATCACTCAGAGTGAGATGATCAAAGCTAAAGCATAGCACTATAAGCATTGCTTTCCTTATTTTCCTTACCTTTCTCATTCTTCTAGATCATAGGCAGGCATGAGATAGTTCCTTGGGACAATCCCCACGATGTTGTTCAGCTCTCCGACCCACCAACCATACATGTTATATTCCTGAAAGAAAGTACCAGCAGCATTCATGAAATAATGAAATATAGGGGCTTGATGGGATAGGGCTAAGATTTCTGTTTTTGGCGCAGATCATTTTATGCATGCTTCTTTTTTAAGTATGCCAAAATATTATCCATTTCTATATATATTGTCTAAATATAGGGACATCTTATAGTGTTGTCAGGTGTATTGCTACATAAATATTGTCATTATTACTACTGCTGTTTAGTTACTTCGTCTTCTTTCTCTCCAGAGAGCAGAAACTACTATAAACATGGATGAGCCAGATATACTTTGCTTTTCTTCTTTTTCTAATATCCAGAATTATTCCCCTTCCATGCTAATCTTTCCATTCCAATTGCAAATAAACAAGGTGAAGACTTAGTGAAAAAGTCACTTGGGAATAATATATTTGAGGAAATATAAATTGAAATTAAATGGGATGTGGTAGGATCCAGAACTATTTGACATCTTTATATATGCAATTTTTATACATGTTTTCCATGTGTACTTAAGTAGATTAACAACAATAGACAGTTTATGCAATATAGCAATGGATTATCAAAGACATGGAAGGTGGACTTGTAGCTGTCTAGAATGCTGCTGAAGTATAATCCTGAGCATCCCTCTCCATTTCGCTGTATTAACTGGGACTGCTGGGAGCAATAATTTAGTAACATCTGAAGGGCCACAGATTCTTCACATCTGCCACAGGACTTTGAATCCTCTTCCGTCCTTTGCTAGTCTATTGTGAAATATACTACACTGCATCCTTTTTTTCATTTTAAATAGAATTTTGGATTTTGGTTGGGTTAGATAATAGTCTTAATCTTTAAGCGATGAAGCAATTGTGTGTGTGTCTGTTCGTCTGTCTGTCCACCACAGACATATGTATACATATGTGTGTATATAGTATATAGAGAGATGGGGGAGGGGGAGCTAGGATTATTAAAAGTGAAAGGAAATAAGTCCCTTGGTTTCAGGCAGAATTTTCTCCCAGTGTAACTTAAAGACATCAGAGGTTGCCATTAACCTTCTAGGTCAGGGGTGGGCAAACTTTTTGGCTCGGGGGCCGCATTGACTTTTAAAATTTGACAGACGGGCCGGGTCAGCACAAGATTTTCTGGGAATCGCCCCCCCACCCTTCCCCCCTTCTCCTCCTTCCCCTCCCCTCGGAGGCCCCCTGAGTCAGGAGTTGCTACCGCCGGCGCGGCTCCGCGCGGCTCCAGTCCCGCGTTGCCTCGGGAAGGGAAAGGCAAAAAGGAAGAGCCGCGGCGGTGCTTTGCAACGGGAGCAGCGGCACCGGAGGCTCAGGCTCAGCGGCTCCTGGTTTTGCCTTTTCCTTTCCAAGGCAACGCGGGACTGGAGCCGCACGGAGCTGTGCCAGCGGTAGCAACTCCTGACAGCCCCAGCTGGACACCTGAGCGGAGCCCGGGCGAAACTGCCTGTTGCTACTGCTGGAGCACCGCCGGGTCGCCTCCTCCAAGCAGCCCGCCCGCCTGCCGGGCTTCCCCTCTGCCGCGCGGCTCGGGGCCAGGCGCGAGCGCCCGCGAGTTAAAAGGAAGCCGAAAGTTGCTGGGAAGTTGCTCGGGTGCTGGGAGCAGGCTTTTAAAGTGCCGCCCGAGCAAAGTTTAAGCAGCCCGCCCGCCCGCCGGGTGGAACCCTTCCCGCTCCTCGGCAGGAATACGCTCCAGCCTCCAAACTTTGCCTTTGCAAAGCCCTGGAAAATGGAGCAACTTCCCAGCAACTTTCGGCTTCATTTTAACTCGTGGGCGCTCACGCCTGGCAGAGGGGAAGCCCGGAGCCTCCTCCAAGCAGCCTGCCTGCCCGCCCGCCGGGCTTCCCTTCCGCCGCACGGCTCGGGGCCAGGCGCAAGCGCCCGCAAGTTAAAAGGAAGCCGAAAGTTGCTGGGAAGTTGCTCGGGTGCTGGGAGCAGGCTTTTAAAGTGCTGCCCGAGCAGGACCGCCGAGCCGGGAAACGGGGCATCAAGGCAGGGCAAAGCTCCACCAGCAGCGGCCTAGCTTTAGGTGGCTCCAAGCAGCCCGCCCCGCCCGCCGGGTGGAACCCTTCCCGCTCCTCGGCGGGAAGACGCTCCAGCCTGCAAGCTTTGCCTTTGCAAAGTTTAAGCCTGGAAGCCCCGGAAAAAAAGGGGGATCGGCGGGGACTCACCTTCGGAGAGGTCGCACTCAAAGGTGATTTCGAACTCCCAGCCAAGGCCTTTGCAAATTTCTTTTCTTTCCTACCCCTAGATCGCTCCGCACTGTTTTGCAGCTTTGGGGGCCACGCGGCACAGGGCAATTACGCCACGGCCAGCGATTTTTTTTCAGGGGCGGGCCGGATTGGACAGACCAATGGCAGCAATTTTTTTTCAGGGGCGGGCCGCATTGGACAGACCAACGGGCCGGATGTGGCCCGCGGGCCGTAGTTTGCCCACCCCTGTTCTAGGTGCAAAACAGTATTCTAGCACCAGTCTACCTTTTCAAAAAATCAGCAATTCAGCAGTACCAAATTGGCAGTCTGCAGCAGGAGTGGGATTCTATCGGTTCTGCCTGGCTCTATAGAACCGGGAGCTCTGAAGAGCAGCAGACACAGAACCGGTTCTGTCTCTGCTGCTGTTTGGCCCACCCGCCTGCCTGGGCTCTTACCTGACCTTTATTTCCTGCTTTTTCAACCTCAGCTTCTTTGCGCGGCACAGCTGAGGTTGAAAAAGCAATAAAAAGTGCCTTTTCAAATGCTGTGCACCTGCGCACAGTGCTTATCAGCTGTCCGGGCGGCACAGCTTTAGGTGTATTACATGCATGCACAGCGTGCATCTGGTGCACATGTGCACAAAACGCGCATTCACGTGCAAAACTTAATCACCAAACCGGTAGTAACACTGGTTGAATCCAACCCCTGGTCTGCAGTGATCTTGCTTCCTCTTCTTGGAGCTTCCTAATCATGGTAAACTAGAAAGATTGCCAACAGGACTTATGGCTTCATCAACAAATCAAGATCTGCTGTAATCTATTCTGGAATGGAGAGTAGTACCCATTGCAATAATTCTTCAGGGTCATCATTTTCTCTGTAAACTTCAACGTTCTGGTCAGGTGGGTTTTGATGAATGTAGAACAGATCCAGGAGTTGTCTTTTCAAACTTCCATTCCTCATCCCTGCCTCCTTTGGCACTTGATATACCCATTTCTGCCCTTTGGTGCTTGTGTCTCAAAATCACAGAACTGGAAGGGATCTTTTAGGTCCCTGAGGCCACCCCTGCTTAGTGCAGGAATCCAAATTAAAGCATTTCAAACAGATGGCTGTCTAGTCTCTCTTGAACACATCCAGTGAAACAGCTGCCTGGATAAATGGCTCTGCTACAGTTAACATTTTTTTTCTAACATTCAATCAGAATTTGATTGAACACCATTGATTCCATGTCCTGCACTCTGGAACAAGGGTGCAGGAAATGTAACAATGTTACCTGAGAGTACCATTATATCCCTTCCTCAATCACATTTTCTCCAAGCTAAACAAGTCTAGTCCCTTCATTGTCTTTTTATAGATCTCATTTCTAGAATCTAGACCCATCTGGCCTTATTAGTTGGTCATTCTAATCAGCCAATGGACAGCAGATCTATATTTAATTCACTTTTGTCATTTAATTTGTATTAACCACAGTATTGGAGAATTAGTTTATACATGAGTTTAATTATCATAGCTTCCCCCAAAATTATTAAGAACCATAGCCTCGTGCTATACATGTTGCGTTGATATCTTTGGGGAAAAAAACTAAAATGAATGGGAAAAGTCATATATCAAAGGGTAGTTTGGATTGTATATTGCTTTTACTGCCAGAACTCACTCAGAGGCTTACTGGAGAATGATTTTTCTAGGGCTTTCTCCTCAGGTCTGAAATAAACTAGCCAATGATATTTTAACAATTTTTTAGTGCCTTTGAGGCAGCATTGCTTTCTGGCAACTGTCTGGACTCATCCTACAGTTTTCTTGGAAAGATTTTCAAAAATGGTTTGCCATTGCCTGTTTCCTAGAGCTGAGAGAGGATGACTGGCTGAAAGTCATCTAGCTGCTATGGACCAAAGGATTAAAAGTCATGGTCTCCTGGTTTCTAGCCTGGTGTCTTAACCATTAGACCAAACTGGCTTTTAGGTTATGATTTATACAACAGCAAACATAAATGCCTTCAAAGGGAATATAACAGGAGTGATATTACCAGAATTAGTTTTAGCCATGGTCTCCAGCCCAAGTCCATTTATATGTATTCAATTTTATACATTAGATTCAGAAACATATATTTGGAAATTTTCATTTTAGAAAAAAAAAAGGAGGGGGGGAGACAGAAAATTCCTCAAATAATAAAAGAGCAAAATGGAATAAGTTTACATTAGCATCAGATGTATACTTAGATCAGATTACTGCAAGTCAAAATGTCCTTTATGGATAAATTTTTCTGCACGCAGAAAGTAAAGCATGTTAGCGAGAACAGTGTAAACCAGACTTCACCTTGATATACTAGTTTTCTATGAGAAAGAAACTTTTCAGAAATGAGGCCATACTTTCCTCCACCTGCAGACTAAGAGAACAGAACGTAAAATTATATATATTGTTTTATGGCCAAAGTCCCAAATAGAGAAGTACTCTATTTGGGATAGCCCTTTCGTTTGTGGAATTTTTACCACTGGATTTCTTCCTGCCTGTGAGAATATATTTCTAAAAATTGCTGGTTAATAGTGAAATTATGTTGCTCTGCAGTTTGCTCCTTGAATAGATACAATGATATTTGACATTATAGTCAATATGAGAGTTCCTCTGAGCACGTTCAGAGGTTTTCCTCTTCAGATACATCTCCCTCATATACGTAGTACAAATGAAACACTGAAAGAAAAGATTTTTTTCACACAAGTTTTATTTCAGCAGTCATTGGCATAAACATTATGGGTTGTTTCTAGGCATCTATGTTTGTCATTTGTTGATTCATAACATGGCAACTAACTTAGCAAATGAGA